TAATGGTGTTTGTAAATAGGATCACAAGTCCGCATCTTGTACAGCAATTAACCACTAAGAAGAATATATGCAGTGTATTATTTGTTGAAACTGTACTTCTGATTTGATTTGAAACTGTCTCATTGCTGTTTATCAATAAAACTTTGAAAAAAATAAATAAATAAATAAAAAACATTCCTAGGTACGGCCGACCCTTGATCACTGGCAGTGCCAGGAGGCCTGCACTTGTAGCAGTGGTAACTCAAAGGCTAGATTAAATTATAAAGCTAGATTAAATTAAAACAGTGTACAGGCCACAAAGCTCTAGAAAAGTTTAGAAAGAAAAAGAAGAAACCCAGCTTGTAACTCACACACATATAACCCGGGTACATAGTTACTACCTCTACAAGTTTCAGAATCCAGCCTTAGATCTGCTGAAAATGTACCTGGACAGCCCCTGCAAGGCCGTCGCAGAAGAGACAATGCACGCAGCCTAAAGCTGTCCCCGAGGACACCGCCCACAGGATCGCTGCGCGCCTATTGACTTGGTCTGGGTGTGTTTTCAGGCTGCCTACCCCTCCTGTGTCCCCCCGCCCGCCCCCTGCAGCTGTTTTCATGCTTTAAACTCTGTAGACAGTGGCCCCAAGAGAACAGAACAATCAGTCAGACGCTTGACCAAGATTTGGTGAGCGTCCCAGGCACATCTGATGGTCCCCGATCAGAGTAACTCTCTCTCCCCTGCCAGAATGTCACAGGACTGACAGCTAATCTACGTCTACTGCCTCTTGTTGGGCTTTGTCAGAGGGTGACACATAATATGCTCAGCAAAGATCTGCTGGAAAAACTAAGAGGGGGGAAAGGTAACCGAAAGCGGCCCTCTGGCCAGCACACTTCAGCTTCTCAGCTGCCCCGGTAACAACAGCTCCTGTTCCAGGTCGAGTTGCCCCTGTCTCTTAGACATGGCTGGTTCCTGCGATGCACACGGCATAAGCCAACCCCCAGTGGACAAGCCCCTCTGCCTCCTCACTTCCTGTCTGCTTTAGCCCACAGACCCCCGAGACCACCCGAGGGCAGGGTCTGATATTCTAGAAGCGGTCCCCCTCAGTGGGTGCCCTGGGATGCAGATCCATCTGCCTCCGCATCTGGGGTGTCCTGCGGGGTTTGTGCTTGCCGCTGTCCTTCTGCCTAGGAGAGGACACGTTAGGAGGGCCTGGACCCAAGGCCCGGGATGCAGGAAGTTACAATAACACCTTTCTCATGACAAATACAGCAGCCACTACTTGGCACTGTTGGCTGAATATTGCCATTTCAAAATAGGTGTCTTCACGTTGCTACATGATTCTGCCTATCAGAAACGACTTTGGTAAACCGGCCACGGCAGCACGCGTCTTAATCCCAGCATTCAGGAGCCTGAGGCAGGAGAAGAATCGCTGCGAACTCAAGGCCAGCCTGGGCTACAGAGAGAGGTCAGGGCCCCCTGAGCTACACAAAGAGACCCTGGCCCGCAAAACAAGGAAAGCAGATAAAAGTCTCTAGCAAAACTATAGCTCAAAACCTATATATAATTACTCATATTTAACTATTCTTAACTTATAAGGCAGCAAATTTGCATAGTGCAAGCTGCGGCGCACACGTCCTAGCTGTGACCGGGGCCCTCATTTTCTGCCCTTTGATCATTCGTCTGGCAATGTAGCTTCTTTCGATACACACCTGGGTGACCCCTCGCAAAACTGCAGCCTCAGATTTAGAGCACTTTGTACTGCCCGTTGATATTCGTGCTTCTCAAATGAATATCACAACACCTGTAAGCTGAAAGGCTGGTGCTGGACTGAGCACCACAGCCCGCAGGAAAAGCGTCTACAATACTAAAAGAGTTCAAGTCATGTCCCATAAAAAAAATCCAGTGATTTAAAAGTATTTGATTAAAAATGAAACATTCATCATAAATAGCTAGACAAATCTAATACTTTGTTTTATAGGAGAGGGAAAAAAAAAAAAAGCCCTGTGTTGTGTTAACAGGAAATCTATGATTCATGCAGCTTTCCTGCCCCTCACCGCGATCAATGTCCCCCGCACAAAAACCAATATCTGCTGTAATAACAATGCGATGAATAATACTAATGATAACATCGTCCGATGGATCACTCAATATGGTCTCTGGTAAACAGAATTATTTTTCTTCTATAAGACTGCATTACGAATCACAAGCATCTAAAGGTAATGCATTTTCAGGGTACAAGAACAGCCTTTTTAAGAAAACCTGTAATGATAGATCACCCCTCTTTCTTTCTTTCTTTTTTTGGTCTTTTTGAGACAGGGTCTCGCTGTGCAGCCCAGGCTGGTCTCAAATGCGCAATGATCCTCCCGCCTCTGCCTCCTGAGTGCTGAAACTACAGGCATGCACCACCATGCCTGGGGATAGAGCACCTTTCGCCCGCAATCCTAGGCTGTTTGCTCCCTCTGACTGTCTCTCGGTGTCTGTCTCTTTCTCTCTCTCTCTCTGACCTGCATGCAGTACGTGTCTCCATGTCTGAAAATGTTTTCCGCAGAAACTGCATCCAGAAGACCTCAGGAGAGTGTTCACCCCACGGCGACACCACACCTGCCTGCAGGAGAAAGTCTGGGTCCCATGGGGACCTAGAGCCCTGGCCATGAACAGGGAGTGCATGGCCCTGTGACTGGGATACCTCCCAGGACTCTGTGCTGCCCACCAGGCCTGTCGCAGCTGAGCGACAGCAAACCCACAGCGAGAGGTCCAGAGGGTGCGACAGCAGCCAGCACTCTCAGTTTGCTCTTCAATGACTCCAAAATCTCATGCAGCTGAAGGATGCTAGCGCCGTGTCTGCTGGGCCATCCTGGGCTTGAGCCCAGCCCACCTGGAGCCAGGCGAGACTCTTACCTGCCTACACCCTGCACCAGGGAGCTCAAGGGCACAGACCACCACCCGGCCTGGGACCCCCAGATCGCTCCACAGGGCCTGTACTGCATCCGGGGAGCACATGTGCATTACTTTGAACCTGATGCCTCTTCCTTCACAGCTGGTACAGGACCTCACCCTAGAGGACGGGGACTGCTGTTATCACTTGATGCCTTATTACTGTATTTGTCTTACAAATGAAGTGAGTTTTTCCTACCAGGACTCCCAGTTCACTGTATGGCTACTGGTCATTTTCTAGGCCTGCCCTGTCCAGGCAGAGCCAGGACCCATGTCCAGCATGGATCCTAACACTTCCATTAGCCCCCAGACCACAAAGGACTCCTCTGAAAATGGGGGTGAAATCCCTGTGTGAATAGCAGAGGCTCCCCGGCCAGTCGCTCTGCTTACAGGGCTGACAAGGGGACAGCCTCTCCTCCCCATGCTGACCCTCGCTGACCCGCGCTGACTAGAAGCTCCCGTCTTTCTCCTGCAGTGACCCAGGTCAGAGTTCAGCTTGTCCACCGTGCACTCAGCACCAGGGCTACGTGCTGGTTTGGTCTGTCTGTCAGGACCTGGGGCAGGAGATGAAGTAACCAGTGTCAACCAGGATGGGCCCGAACACCACGACGTCCTGAGGGATCCAACTGTGGAAGCTGCTCCAGCCAGGGCTGTGATACCCCCTCATCTAGCTCAAAATTATGTGGGGGCGCCCAGGGTCATCACAACCCAGCCATCCCAGGGACATCTACGATGAGCAGTTAAGGGCCTAGGGTGGTGGGAGTGCACAGCACTCTTGGAAGTGGACAGGGTCACACTCTTGGAAGCTGGAGGTCGGGAGGCTGAGGCAGGGGAACTGCCTCCCCACAGGCAGAGTCCAGCCTGGGCTACATAACGAGAGCTCAAGGCCAGCACAAACTACATGACAAGGTCCTGTCTCAAACACTCAAAAGGAAAAAACAAAAGCTAGCAGCTATGACCTCCCTCAGAAAGGGTTTCCAGATCCTAAATATGGCAGTGCCAATGGAGAGAACAGGAGTACAGGGCTGGTTTCACACGGCAAGAGGTGAACCTGCCGGGGGCTTCTGCTTTGTCATCTCACTCCAGTAGGTACCGCCCACGTGACAACAGGGCTCACTGGCCTTGCTATTCTGTTTTGTTTCTCTTCCATTTTAATTTGCATCAGTGCAGGTTGTACTGCAGGAGGTCACCGCTGGGCGGGGCCTCCTCAGGACCTCACCTGGCCTCCTGGAGCACATTGCCCATCACTTCTTTCTTCTCTTCCTGGCCAGCATCTTCGTTTACATCCGTGCCACCAAAGATGATCCCGAAAGGGATCCTGTGACCTGCAATGCAACAGCGACAGGAGACAGAGGTTAAGGCAGGGATGGCACCGCCCACCACCCACCAGGTGGAGCAGCCGATGTCGCGGCACGCAGGGCTGGGTCGCCGGCTCAGTGGCACCTGGTTCTGCTGAGCAGGATGCCTACAATGCTGTTACAAGCCACTGGCTGCGAGCAGCAGCTGCTGAGGCGCTGAGGAACCACCCACTGGAGAAGCTCTGGGGTGTGTTGTGTGAGTGAGTGTGAGTCAGGGGACACACTAGCCACTGGCATCAGAGCTATGGATTTTCAGTTAATTTGCCTTAAATTTTAACAACAAAAACACATCGAGCTGGAAGCCACCCATCGAGCCAAGCTTCTCCTTCTTTGAAAATAAGCAAAGCTGCAGCCTTGGAGGGTTCTAGCACATGAGCTGGGTTTGTCATGGTGCCTGCGGGCAGCTGCGAGGGGTGGAAGTAGTGGGGCATTCCCTGCTGTGCGGGGTGGGTGCATGCAGGACTGCTTGCAGAATGGCATGAGTCTGGCGACAGCCCCTGGTGACAGCGATGGGCCCGGTGGGCAGCTGCACCACGCGGGAGGGGAGGTCTTTGGGGCTAAGGTTGCCCACATCTGAGTCCCCAGAGCCCACACATGGCAGTTAATCCTGACCGTCTACTGCACTGAGCTCAGAGGAGACCGGATCAGCCACGCACACTGCAGCACCCTGAGGCATCTCCTCGGCCATGTGCAGACAGACAGCAAACAGCCACAGAGCCTCTCTGGCCGTCCAGGCCGCTCTCAGCCCCAATTTCACCACAAAGGACTCGACTATGGCTTCCCGAAGCAGAACCATGAAGCATAGGGAGCTACTGGCTGCTAGAACAAGCAGCCACGAGGAGCTGAGGAACCACCCACTGGAGGAGCTCTGGGGTGTGTGAGTGCGAGCGTGCATGTGTGTGCGTGTGTTCCTAAAGAGTGACAATATCTCCAATTAAGTGCAAAACCCAAATGCACATCAGTTGCCTCGCTGTGTATTAGAATAACAAACACGTTGCTATGCGCGCACATCTCCAAGGAGCAAACTCGAGCTGCCACCACCCCTGGGAAGCAACCGGGAAGCGCACAGACCTGGGATGCGGCGGGGGGGGGGGGGGGGACGACTCTTCACCCTGCAACTCCTGACGTACTTGGATGCCTAGATGGCACATGTAGGAACATTCCTGAAATTCACAGACATAGAAAAGTCCTCCCGGGACACACGGTGGCTGGTCGTGGGCAGGAGGCTCAGGTACGAGGTGCCGTGCTGGGAGGGGTGAGTGATTTCCCTGCGCTACAAGGACACGAATCTTTGGACCTGAGAGGGTCATGGGACAGAGGATAACTGTCCCCAACTGTGTCCACAGCCTGATTGGCAGGACCCAGGAACAGGAAGGAGGAAATTGGAATTGGGAGGGACAGATTCAGGGCTGCTACTTAGCTGAAGTAGAATGGGGGAGGAGAATGGGATTGGCAGGGAGCCCAACAGGGACCCAAGGGTCCTTGGAAGGAGAGAGAGTGTCAAAGCATCCCGGAATGGGAGCAAGCAGTGGCCCCTGAACTGCAGACGGAAGGCCATAGCCAGCCAGGGCTGTGGTGCAGGGGCCTCAGTCAGCACTGGCTTCCAGGACTGCGGAGCAGAAGCAGGGACCTGAGGGACAGCGCCACACAGCCCCACTGGGGACAGACGCCACCCAGAGGCCACCAAGGGAAGCTTCCCTGATGGAAACACTCCCGGAGGAGGCGGAAGGCATGGCAGAAGCTGCGCACAGCCAGACATCCAGAGAGGCAGACAGACGCAAGCAGATGCGTGCGTGCGGGAACCCAAGCAGCTGCTCAGAGGCGAGTGGCAGTCAGTGACACACACCTTCAGCCCTGCGAACATGGCAAGCCGGCCCAGAGCTCCAGACTAAATCCAACAGAGTAGGGCTGCGCTCGGAGGAGCACACCTGCAATCCCAGCACCTGGGAGGCTGGGGCAGGAGGACTGCAGGTGCAAGTCCAGCCTGGACAACTCAGCAAGACCCTGTCCCAAGAATAAAATGCAAGGCTGGAGATGCAGCTCAGAGCAAAGGCTCTGGGCTCAGTCCAACAACAACAACCCACAAGAAAGCGGACAAGGACATGGCGCAAGGAAGAAGTACATATTCAGTATAGTGCAGTACGCAAGCCTCCCTGGACCTGGGTCAGAAACCCAGCTCTACCTGCTGGGTGGCTGCCTTGGGGCCTGGGGACACTGGCCATGCTCTGTGCGGTAGCAACTCTCAGTGGGCGGGCGGCCAGGATCCAAGGACAGACATGGGGCAGCTCGGCTGGCAGAGCTCGGTGCCAAAGGGGGCTGAAACCGGGCAGCCTGAGGTTCGCGAAATTACATGAATGCTTAGAAGAGCGCGAGACCTTTCACTTTTGAGGCGCGTGTTTCTAAGAAAACAATGCTTCAAACAAGTTGTCTATTAGCCTTAAAGGCAAAAGACTTTCATAAGCCCTCCCAGAGCTGTGACTGAGACATTCTCCGAGAAATTCTAGGCGTTTCTTCGGACTTCTTTTGCTCTAGCGCAAAGTCTACACAACGTGTGCACAGACTTGAGTCTTGTCTCCCTGCAGGTTCACCGAGCGCAGGCTAGAAGTGCGCATGCGCGGCGAGTGGCCGACCCAGGCTCAGGCATGCGTCACCCGATCCACTCACCACCTCCGCGCTCCTGGATGCAAATCTACTCCCTTGGCAAGCGCCAGGTCCTCTGAGGGCCACCTGGACGACTCTCCTACCTCCGTTTTGGGGGCCTAACCCATTTCCACGTGCTGACGCAGAGCTGGCTAGGACTTCTGCTCATGCCTTCCACTGGCTGCAAGCAACGCAAACCGGCCCAGCCAGGCGCTATGTGTGGTCTCTGAAGCAGGGGACAGGGCAGGGTCACCCCGCCCCCACAGCTCCCAAAGGACGTGTGTGAGCTGGGCAGGGCAAGAGGCAAGAGACAGCCCTGCTCCACGCTGTCAGCTCGGATCGGCCTCAAAATAAGAGGCTGTGACTTCCCAGGGCACAAAGCATTACACCAGAGCTCAAGCTGCGGCTCCGAGACACTACACGCTGCCTTAGTTGCGTTAGGCAGATCGCTCCTCCTCCACATCTCCTCCCTCCGCACGTCGCAGAGGTGGCTGCAGGGGTGTCCCGCCGCTCTCAGTCACTCATCTCCAAGCCGCTCCCTTCTTCATGAATTAATAAGAGCTGGGCTCTGCCCTGCTTGAGGCCCTTGTTCCGGATGCCATCATCCTAGCGGGACTTGGGACTCCCTAGCTCCCTACCATGCACGGATTTGATTCTATGTATGCCCTTCCTAGATTCCACATCTTAGTGGGGTCAGGGGGTGCCAGGCTTGCTCCACCTAACAGAGCACCTTCGGGATTCTCCCAGGGGTGGCAAATGACCAGACGTCCCTCTCTTTGCAGCTCCCAGAATCCACTGAATGCACACAGGCCGCAGTCCTCAGCCGGGCGTCTGCAGGTCAGCTAGGTCACCTAGGCCAGCTATCTGTCCTGGCCACGTGAGCAGTGGCCCCGGGCGCAGGGGGTGTGGTGCACCGAAGACCAGGGGCCCACACTGTTCTGCACATGGTGACGCTGTCCACCTCCCAGGGAGAGCGGAAGTGCGATGGCTCTCAACTAGGGATTGAACCCAGGGCCCCCCGTGTGCTGGGCAAGTGTTCTACCACACTCCAGCCCCACAGGCAGTGCTTGCAACATATCTTAGGTGAAAATGGTCAAGCAAACTATCATTACGATATGGCTGCAATTTCAAAAATACCCCCTTAACAGCCACATGTGGTGGTGTGTGCCCGTCATCCCGGCACTCAGGAGCCTGAGGCAGGAGGGTCACTGTGAGATGAGGCCAGCCTGGGCTACACAGTGAATTCAAGGCAGCCTGGATTACAGAGAAAGACCCTGTCAGAGAGGGAGGGAGGGAGGGAGAGACAGAGAGACAGAGAGAGTGAGAGAGCAAGAGACAGAGACAGAGACAGAGAGAAAGAGAGACAGAGAGAGACAGAGACAGAGAGAGAGTGACAGAGTGAGACAGAGAGAGAGACAGAGAGAGACAGAGACAAAGAGACAGAGAGAGAGAGAGAGAGAGAGAGAGAGAGAGAGACAGAAAGACAGACAGACAGACAGGCAGGCAGAGAGACAGACAGAGAGACAGAGACAGAGACAGAGAGAGAGTGACAGAGTGAGAGAGCGAGAGACAGAGACAGAGAGACAGAGAGAGACAGAGAGACAGAGACAGAGAAAGTGACAGAGTGAGAGAGAGAGAGAGGCAGAGAAAGAGAGAGAGAGAAAGACAGAGAGAAACAGACAGAGACAGAGACAGAGAGACAGAGAGAGTGACAGAGTGAGACAGAGAGAGAGACAGAGAGACAGAGAGAGACAGAGACAAAGAGACAGAGAGAGAGAGAGAGAGAGAGAGAGAGAGAGAGAGAGAGAGAGACAGAAAGACAGACAGACAGGCAGGCAGAGAGACAGAGAGACAGAGACAGAGACAGAGAGAGAGTGACAGAGTGAGAGAGCGAGAGACAGAGACAGAGAGACAGAGAGAGACAGAGAGACAGAGACAGAGAAAGTGACAGAGTGAGAGAGAGAGAGAGGCAGAGAAAGAGAGAGAGAGAAAGACAGAGAGAAACAGACAGAGACAGAGACAGAGAGACAGAGAGAGTGACAGAGTGAGACAGAGAGAGAGACAGAGAGACAGAGAGACAGAGAGACAGAGACAAAGAGACAGACAGAGAGAGCGAGAGAGAGAGAGAGACAGCGAGAGAGACAGAGACAGAGACAGAGAGACAGAGAGGCAGAGACAGAGAGAGAGAGAGAGAGAGAGAGAGAGAGAGAGGTTTTACATTTACCAGAAGAGTAAATCTTTTATGGCAAACTTAATTTTGAATAAAAAACACGTAACAGATGAAATGAAGGGCGCAGACACACGTGGGTCATTTCCGTGTGGTGCCCTTGCAGGGCCGAGCCTCTTTCTCGGTGCCACTGACTGTCTACAGCCTCAGGCTCCAGCCTCCACCCTCAGAGCAGCCTCCAAGGGCTGCGCACACTATTTGCAGTGTATGTACCCAGAATATGACTTTCAAAAAGCTGCAGTGTGGCACCCACCTATAAACCCAGGACTCAGGAGGCTGAGGCAGGAGGATCATTGAGGGTTTGAGACCAGCCTGAGCTCAAGGCCAGCCTGAGCTGCACAGGGAGACCCAGTCTCCAAAAGATGCAAAAAAAAAAAAAAAAAAAAAGTGCAGCTTAAGAGCCCCGGACACGTGATGCCTGGGCAGACAGCCCCAAGGGGCAAAGGAGCAGAGAGAAGCTGAGCCCTGGCCAAGGCCAGCAGCGAGCAGGCTTCAGCTTCACGGAGCAGGAGAATGCTCTGTCCTTCCGCCGCCGCAGGGGCTGCCTTCGGAGGTGCCTCCTCCTTCTGCCAAGGCTTCAGGAGAAGCAGCCCTGCTGCCAGGTGGCTTCCCATTTACTCGAAACAAAGGTCAGGAATGGTGAAATTGAGAAGAATTGAAGTTTGAACGAGAAAACAAAACCCCCAGCCACTTGGTCAGAGAGCAAAGAATAGGTGCTTGCCTGGCAGCTGCCAGAACGTGGATGGGGTGACCTTTTGGAAGGTGATTTGTCCCTGTCAAAGGAAAAACCCACTCTGGCCCCAGGCTTGTGGTATGCCTTTACAGAGGAATAGAAATCAAGTAAGTCTAACCTAGAAGTCAGAAATGGGAAATGCTCCCAAACTGGAAACTTCTCTGGGGCTGTCAAAGCCACAGGCACAAACTCCAGCCCCGACCTCACAGCAGGCGGCCGGCAATGCGAGGTGCACCAGTGGGCTGCGGCGGGCGCCCTGCAGGCCTCAGATGTGGCGAGGTGCTCACGGGAAACTCGGGGCGTTCTGCAAGTAGACCTGGGGCCGACCCCTAGGTTTTCCATGGCGTGCCTGTGGACACTCTGAAATCACAAAAATTCCAAAATCAAAGTCCCTTTTGGTTTGAGTGTTTCAGAACAGGGACTTTCAGTCTGTACCATTGGTCCGCTCACAGAAAGTGTGAGGCACAGACGGCTTTGGGACCCGGACAGAGCTGAGGTCCGTGGAGAAAGACTCGTAGGAATAAAACACAGACCTGACCACACAACGTGATGGCAAGGAAGTCGGGATGCAGGCTCACAGACAACAGCCTAGCACGGTGAGTAGAGTCCCACCTAGGGAGGGAGCCTGCAACCTGGACATTCACACCATCAGCGACAGTTTCCCACCCGTTCAGAGGTGGCTGTGATCAGCCTGGTTCTGGTGGCAGCGTCGGTCACACCCAGCATGAACCTCGGGCCCTGGGTTCCACACACTTACAGGGGAGCCTGGAATGCTCTACCTATCTCAGAATAGAACTTTCTAGAAGTAATAATTCCAAAAACATTGTCCTGTCTCCCAGGAAACAGTGGATTTGGATAGTTCAGGCTGGGTCACAAAATATGCAGTCGGATCTCCTCCCCCACACTCTCATGCTGAGGAGTCTGCAAGAAGACCCTGGAGCAATGGTTGACAAGAAAGAAATCAAAGACTCTAATAATGCCTGCTCATGGCTGCCTCCACATCATGGTGCTGTTGCGTGACAGCTGGGAGAAGACTGTGCAGCCGCACGTGTGAGTGGCGCAAGCAAGCGTCCAGAGGACGCCTGACTAGGGGCTCCATAGGGCGGAAACATGCATGGACACGCACGCTGGCCAGCCGCAGGACAGTCACGTAAACGCACACACTAGCCAGCCGCAGGGTGGTCACATGGATGTGGACGCTGGCCAGCCACAGGACGTCATGTCATCTTCAGTCTGGCTGTCCCCTGCCACACCGGTTCCACCAGCGGGTAGCCGGCAAGACAGCGGGGCCTCACCCAGCGGTCCTTCTGGGGTGGCATCCAGCTTCCTCCCTCTGGACTATCCTCTTGGGAGCCAGCACCACTTCAGGATCACTCAGAACTGGGCAGGCCCAGGTGGGGAGGGACCGAGCCTCCTGCGTAGAACCCTGGGCACAGGCAGACCCTCTGCAGCCCTGCTCCACAGCCCTCATAAGCACGAAATGGGGCAACCGGCTAGGCGCAGGAGGACACTAATCCAGTCCACGGAATGGATTCCAGGGAGCGCAAGACAGTAGTCACTGTGGTCGCCTCCGGGGAGCGTGAAGCAGACAAAGGGAACACAGGGGAGCCAGCAACCATGTGTCACCCTATGCAGGATGTCTTAGCATCCTCCCATATTACCCCCAAAATCAAGAAGCAGTACACCGTAGATCCTGCCCAGATGGGAAGGGTGTGGCCAGAGGGCCTCCCCCCCAGCACCGGAGGCAGGGACGCTGCCTGGGCGCTCCCTCTAGCCAGGGCGCTCTTGGCGCCTAGAAGCTTCCCACACGCAGACTAAAGTGGGATCCTAGCGCGAGGACAACTTAGGAGGTCCCAATCCACGCTGACTCGCCAGCCCCCTGAACGTCACCACACCGAGGACACCCGAACCTCGCTGCTTCATTTGTGCCCGCAGAAAGCCACCATGGCTTGGCGCAGCAGGTGTGCCCATCTTGTTTCCTACCAACTCGGTAGCAGCTGCATCAGGGAAGCCGATAGGACCTGGGCATGCAGCCAAAAGCACCCCAGCCCAGGAATAGGCGGGCTTTCTGCCCAGTGCACCCATAGCGCCACTCTGGGTCCCCGCGGTGAGACCAGGCTAGAGGCATGGTGCTGCTCACTGGGAGTAGAGCTCTGCAGCAACAGCAGCTGACCGGCAGCTGCCCATCAGCTGGATGCCATGGCTCCACCCCACCCGCCCCACAGAAAAGGGGCCCAGGCAGGCGTTTATGCCACTGAGCTATTTCCCAGGCCCCTGACTCATCCACATGGCTGACACTGACAAAGGATCTACAAAGTGCAGTGCAGGGTTTCGGGATAAGTCTTGAGGGGACTTGACTGACTGTGTCCAATACAAAAGTTACTTTTTTTTTTTTCTTTTACATTTTTTGTTATATGGGTCTTGCTTTATCTTGGTCTTAACCATCCAGCAGAAAAGTGTAGACGCGAGGTATGAAAGGTGAAGCCATGTTAATATACTGAGCTGCAGAAGGCTCAAGTCATCAGATTGGGACGCTGCCAGTCCTGTGGATAACCCACTACTATTGTGGACTGCTGGACTATATTGGAATATTTTGCTGAATTCATGCACCTACAGTATTTGGATGGCAATGGAATACTCATCTCTGACAAAACTGAACAAAAAAAGGTGATATAAATGAAGGACTATTTTGTATCTGTATATACAAAATAGTTAGGATAGATATACAGCTACTTGCTCTTAATTCAATAAGAAGAAAGATTTGTACTAATAGTGTTTGGACAGGATACCATGTCTGCATCTTGTGCTTTGAATGACTACTACAAAGACAACAATATGCAATGTATTAATTGTTGTAACTCTCCTACCAACCTGTTTTGAAGCTGTCACATTGCCATTTTTTTCTCAATAAAATTAATTAAAAAATAAAATTTAAACTGTTTTTGTTTTTTAAAAAAAGGTGGGGGGCTCCCAGCAGGCGCTGTCTGCCTGGAAAGGCCTCCGCTTCACAGCTCAGCGGGGACCTGACCTTACCGCATAGAAACCTAGAGGCCTTAGGGTCCCCGGTATTGAACACACTGTATAGAACCTCTCATAAGCGCTCCTCCTATCTCTGTAAAGAACTCAATGTTTAAATTTGAAAATCAGAATTTGAAACAAGAAGTACACACTGAAGAAATTCAGCACCATGTACCTCATACACCAAAACCAGCTCCGCTTCTTCCATCCAGTCTGGAGAGGCAGTTACCGAATTTTAGAAAGGCACTCAGCAGAAAACAAGCCGCCAGCGGCCGTGGTGGACGCCTGCTGTCCCTGCACTTGAGGCTGATGGGTAGGGGGACCAGCTCGAGAGCAAGTCCAGCCCGGACTCTGGAGGGAGCTGCTGCCTCCAAAGAGCAGAAAAGAGAAGAACCCGGCAGCGTCGCCGCCTCCCACGCGTTGGGCCGCAGAGCAGGGTACGCAGCAGCGTGGGCGCTGGCCGCTCTGCAGGCGCAGGCTTACCTTGCAGGAGCCGGCCTCCCCGGTAGAGGTGCAGGGCCAGCGCCCCCTCAAAGTGCTGGGCCTCCAGGAGGTCTGCGACGTCCGCCGGGCTCGCAAACTCTGACGCATCTCTCAGAACACAGCAGTGACCTGCTGCCTCCAGGTGGGCCCTGCACCAAAGACGGGGACAGGAGAGGATGGGTCGTTAGCAGGCACACAGCGCCGCGGTCATTCCCATCTCACCTCGATCCCTTCACAGAGTGCCCTTGCTCGGCAGGAAGCTCGAGGTCTGGAGGTGGCCCCTCACCCCTGTAGGGCTCGGACAGCCGAGCAGAGCAAGCTTGAGCCGCTGGGGTCACTCCACCAGCAGAGGCTTGAGCTACCGAAGGCCGTTCCCTGGGTCCCACTCTCCCCATCCTTTCACCTGTCCCTTCACTGTGGGAGGTCCCCAAGTTTAACTTCAAATCTCTGTCATTCATGTCTTAGAAAGGACTTCAGAGTCCCCCGTCACTATGGCTTCAAATCATATTGTGCGGCCTCTTCATTCTGGACCCCCAAAACAATCTCTTTCACATATGTGTCTTTTTTCTACTTTAGTACAGTTTATGGTAAGATATCTATAAATCTAAAATACAAACCTAATCAGCCGGGTATGGAAGTACTTGCCTGTAATCCCAGCACTCCACGGCCATACCACCCTGAACGCGCCCGATCTCATCTGGTCTCAGAAGCTAAGCAGGGTCGGGCCTGGTTAGTACTTGGATGGGAGAAGGCTGAGGCAGGAGGCTCCTTGGGAGTTTGAGACCAGCCTGGCTACAAAGTGAGCTGAAAGCTGGTCTGAACTGCATAGTGAGACCCTGTCTCAAAAAGACTAAACAAATGAATCCAAACCTGGTTGGCAAAAAGAAAGAATTCCTTTTCTTAGACAAGATCTCAACATGTAGTTCAGGCAGGCCTTGAACTCACCAACTAGCCCAGGCTGGCCTTGAACTCGAAGCGGTCCTCCTGCTTCTGCCTCCAGAATGCTGGGATTACAGGTATGTAGCACTACACCCAGTTAAAAGAATCACTTTGAAAGGGATCAATAACAGGAACAAAGGGCCAGCGAGACAGCTCAGCTGACTAAGTGCCTGCTTTGGCAAGTGCAGGGACCAGGGAGGCCCCTCATGCTGTGCCAGCCCTTCCTCCAGGGCACAGTGAGCAGTCCGAGAGCAGGACGCACGCCTGTAATCCCAGAGCTAGGGAGGCTGAAAATAGGAGGATCACTATGCTTCTGAGCTATGTGGTGTGGCCCTGCATTAAATACATAGTGTGGAAAAAAAAAAAAAAGGTATAAAATCTTTTTTGAACAATGAGAGAGTATAGGAGGAACTGCTCTCCACCCAAAGAAAGAGAAATGAAAAGGCTAACTTGTTTAATATATAAAGAAAGATCTTTTATGAAATAATAAGAAAAAACTAGCACAACCCCGTTGAAAAAATATAGACAGGCATAAAGCTGCACCAAGATGTGCAATTGGGCTTTTAAAACAAAAGGAAATTATGCCCAACTTCAGCTACCTTTTTATATAAAAAATCTATAAAAGTCAAACAGTCTGCCTAAAATTTCATGAAATAAACTCTCCTACACATTATCTAGAAGACTGCAAATGAGTGTAGTCTATGCAGTGGGCAAGACACAGCAACTAGCGAGCTTAAGGTGCACAAACTGACGAGGCTGGTGATAGATGCCTGTCCCAAGCACCCTGGGAGGTTGAGGCAGGAGGACCTCACTGGGGCCCAGCCTGGGCGACTTAGTGCTTTAGTGAGACCCACCCTTAAGGCGAAATAGTAAGGGCTGAGAAGTAGCTCAATATATCTACACCACACCCTGGGTTCAATGCCCAGTACCTTGATAAACACATTATGTACGTAAAACTAAAATTAAGGAACAAAATGCCAAAAAACCCTGACCGAATAACCCCACATGTAGAGATTTAATCCAGAGATATACATGGGTATGTGTGCAAAAGCATGCACCCAGGGACAGGTCCTGTGCCACTGGGCTTATAAGAGCAAAGGGGTCCAAAGCCACCTGCAAGGGCATCTGCCAGCACAGGTCGCATTGGCTCCATTCAGCTTTTCCACTACTGAAAGAGTGCAGAGGGCCAGCATGATGCCATATACAAAACTGGCTGAGAGAGACATCCTTGAATGCTGAAGAGAGCAGTGCACCAGCAGTTTCAGGAAGATACAATATGTGCCCCAGGTGTTGGTGTAGATCCAAGGTGTGCACCAAGGGTGTTGGTGTAGATCCAAGGTGTGCACCAAGGGTGTTGGTGTAGAT